AATTATTTACAATTCGGATTTTTCCGAATTTTAATTTTTTTGCGGCAATCTCGCTAAAAATATTTGTTATTATTATAACAATGGGGGAGCTCGAAAAATATGTAACTTACCTATTGTTTTATTTTTTTCTAATGTATTAATCACATCTATATGTAAGATATCGTACCCCTTAAGGTTTAGGCGGGAATTGTAGTAAAAGTAGAGGAGATTAGAATATTTCCTTGTTTATGTAAATGTTTAGAGGAGTGCTACTCCACAAAAAACCGTAGTTTTTTGTAGTACTTGACAGAAATAGCTACAAAAAGACATGTATACAAGATTTTAAGGAGGGCTTGCGATTTTTATAGGAAAAATCTGTGGCCACTACAAACAGTGCACGAATTAGAAATATATTTGAACATATATGAATAACAAACTATTATCGAAACATTAGCATTATTTAAACATTTGCAAACGATGAACTGGGGGTCTAGGGGGCGAAGCCCCTGGTCAAAGAGGATTCGGGGAAGGGGGCTTCGCCTCCCCCTCCCGGTTTGACAAAAATAGCATTCTAAAAAAAAGAAAAATGCATTTCGCATGGTGTTAAACGTATGTTATTTTTTCATGTGATTCACATGTCCTACCTTGTGCAGGGGTTTTGCTAATTTTTCAGTATCCATTTTAGTATATAGTAAACTCATATCCAGATAAAGAAATGTGTTCATTCTGAGCTAATGTTGTACTCATATATCTTCAAAATATGAGGACAAAAATACACACCGATGCGGGCTCATATGTGGCTCAGATATCGTTCATGTCATGATGTCAGAAAAATACCTCATTTAATAATAATAATCAACATCACGTCAAGAACTTGTAAACATAATTTGTACATCATTTGTGTGCATCTGGTGCTTATGTCATAAAATCACATAATGATCTTTAAAAAATCACATAATGATCTTTAAAAAAGTATCAAATTGAAGTTATAGTATGAAATCACATTGTGATGAAGAATAATCGCATTTCTATCTGGAATACATTTAGTAAGGTGAAGATTTAGTAGAATATTCTCCTTTGCGTAGGGGTCTTGCTAATTTTTTCGGTATTAACAATTTTTAGTATACTATAAACTCATTTATTTAGGCAAATATTTAATAGATAGCAAAATGTCAGCAATATGCCGACAAATTTCCAGTAAAATCAATCATAGGATTGCAGCAAATTTGCAGCATGTATACTACCATTATGCTGGCATTATTAGTCGGCAAAGCATGCCGAAATAACTTGAGAGCCGAGTGCTACTAAAAACTGAACAAGACGTGTCGAGCAACGTGTGACGACAAATTTGCGGCAAACAGCGAGCAAGACGTGCCGAGCAATGCGTGATGACAAATTTACGGCAAACAGCGAGCAAGACGTGCCGAGCAACGCGTAACGGCAAATTTATGGTAAAAATCGAGCAAGATGTGCCGGCTATAAACAGGCCAAAATTACCCGAGTAGAATTTGCACTTTATGAGAATCTAGTCATTATATAATAAAGTTGTATCTAACACATACATACACATCGTTATTAGCTAGTGTAACTAGACAGTGATGAACCAGTAATGTAACGCTTTTGCGAATAGTTATATGCAATATATTAACTAATAATGAGATGAAAGAAACTGCATAGTTATGAAGTAAAAAATCAAAACTAGTTGCTAGGTAATATCGCCTTTTCTAATCAGGATATAACATAAGTTACCTAGTAGTTAGACAAAAAAAATATAACTACCCAGATAAAAAAATGTGTTCATTCTGAGCTCATATTGTATTCATGTATCTTCAAGCATGAGGACAAGAATAGACATCGATACGGGCTTATATGCGCCTCAGAATGTAGACATGTTATGATGTCACAAATATACCTCATTTAATAATAATAATCAACATCATGTCAAGAATTTGCAACATAATTTGTACATTATTTGTGTGCATCTAGTGCTCATGTCATGAGATCACGTAATAATCTTTAAAAAAGTATCATATTGGAGCCATAGTATGAAGTCACATTATGATGAAACATGATTATCACGCATTTCTATCTGGATAGTGATGTATTTTATTTTCTGCATCAGGCATTCCTCATTATCAGTAGATAGACTGTCCTAGTTAAAGTTTTTAGTTCTATGAAATGCTGTTTGTGTCTTTTAGAGATGACACCAGTGGCTTTTATTATTGGAACTCTTCCTAATCATGTAGAACGAAAGTATCTCAGTATATATTGTCTTGGAAAAAATCCCTTGCCCACATTGGATTTGAACTCGAGATCTTTGTTTTTTCAAGTCTGTTGTCCTATATGTTATTCCACTTCAACTTCATTAACAAAGGCGTTTCGTACGGCCCTCATATGTTGCATGAGATTTGGTACGACTTGCTCGGCTTTTGCCGTCAGTTTGCCGTCATATGTTGCTCGGCACGTCTTGCTCGATTTTTGCCACAAATTTGCCGTCACATGTTGCTTAGCACGTCTTGCTCTTTTAGCCGTAAATTTGCTGTCACGCGTTGCTCGACATATTTTGTTCGCTGTTTGCTGCAAATTTGCCATCACATATTGCTTGGCACGATTTGCTCAGTTTTTGCTATCAATATGCCGTCATACTACTAATGATAGCTTGTCCGATTTTTGTCAGCAGTTTGCTATCACGCTTGCTCAACAGATTGCAACAGATCGTGTTGCAATTTTGCCGACATCACTTAATATAGTAAATCGTGCTGCAATTTTGTTATTTTTCTGTCGACAAAACGTGCAGCACGCTTTGCCGAAATTTGTTTTTGGCACGTTTGGCTATCAGGGTATATTCATAGAAATGTAAGGCTGCTAACGCAAGGAATATATTATAAATATCAAATCTTTGTTTTATTAAATAGATGAGTCTATAATATACTAAAAATAGAGTAACGGAAAAGATTAATAAGGCCTCCCTGACGCAAGAAGGGATGTATCATGAATTATTAATTATGTTAACGTATATTATTTCATATTTTATAGTTATTTTATAAA